CTTCCAGACAGAGGGAACAGCATGTATAAAGGCCTGGTGGAGGGCACTGCAAGTTCCTTCATGCATCTAGAGCAGCACTGTCCAGTAGAACTTTCTGGAATAATGGAAGTGTCCTGCATCTGCACCCTCTGATACTGTAGCCACCAGTCACCTGTGGCTGTTGAGCACTTGAAATGTTCACCCTAGTACAGCTGTTGTTCAGTTGCTCAGCCATGTCCAGCTCTTTGCAACTTCATGGACTGCAGCACACCAGGCTTTCCTGTCCCTCACCAACTCCCGGAGCTTGCTCAAACTCATGTCCATTGAGTTAGTGATGTCATTCAACCATCTCATCTTCTGTCATCCCCTTCTCCTCCTGCCTCCAATCTTGCCCAGCATCAGGGTCTTTTCCAATGAGTTGGCTCTTCACATCAGGTGGCCAAAGGATTGGAGCATCAGCATCAGTCCTTCCAATGAATATTCAAGGTTGATTTCCTTTAGGATTGACTGATTTGATTTCTTTGCTGTCCAAGGGACTCTCAAGAGTCTTCTCCAGCACCACAGTTCAAAAGCATCAATTCTTTGGTTTTCAGCCTTCTTTATGGTTTAACTCAGTACAGCTGAGGAACTGAATTTCAACTTTATTTCATTTGAATTTAAATAGTCACGTGTGACTAGCAGTTACTGCATTGAATGTTAGGTCTGGATGAAGAGAAAAGGCTGCAGAAGAAATCTGGGGCCAATACTGAAGGGTCTTGAATGCCACATTCAGACTTGGTGCCCTTTTCCCCAGCATGTGTGTGCTCAGTCACTCAGCCATGTCCAACTCTTTAAAACTCCATGGACGATAGCCCACCAGGCTCCTCTGTCCATGGAATTTTGCCGGCAAGAATACTGGAGTGGGTTGCCATTTCCTACTCCAGGAGATTTTCCTGACCCAGGGATTGAACTGGTGTCTCCTGCAGTTCCTGCATTGGCAGATGGATTCTTTACCACTGAGCCACCTGGGAAGCCCTCTTCTTCCCAGACAATGTGGAAATCCTGCAGAGGGACCTGGGGGAGGAGATGCAGGAACACATCCATCCTGGAGAACCGTCATCTCAGCTGCTCTGTGAGGCAGGGAGGAGCCTGGAGCCATGGTCCAGAAAAGAAGTGATAAAAACCGAACCAGGGCAGTGGGTATAGAGAGGAGAGGACAAATTCCAGGGCTAGCCCGATGACTAATTGGATTGGTGGCTGGGCCATGTCAAGGGTGACTCCTAGATTTCTGACTTGGGTGGCAGCAGGGATAGGGGGTGTGCCCTGCACAGAAATGGGGAACATGAGAGAAAGGGCAGTTTTGGGGTCTCATACCACTATTCCAGCTTTCACTGTGATGTAAATGTCTCTGTCCCTGTCTCCCCCCAACCCACCCAGCCCATCTACATACCTTCTGAAGCATCATGGGTTGGGACTCACCCCTATCCTTCTCCCTGTCGTTGACACAGCAGCATGTGGGGCCCAAGGAGGCCTCATTCAGCACATGTTTGTGGAATGGACGAATGAGTGTTCCATTGCTCCCGGGATCCTGTTGTTCCCTGACCCTGAAAGCAGGGAGGAATTTGGCCATGTCCCTGGAGTGCCCTGAGCAATGTGAAGAACGTGGCCTCCAGGGCAGTTTTCTCAGAGAATCTGAAGAACTGCCTGAGTGGTTGGGTCTATGAGGGCAACCAAGGGAGAGAGTTGTAGCATTTGCTTCATCTCCTCAAACTCTGCATCTCAAGCAGACTGTCCCAAGCTGGACAGACCCGAGGCCATCAGGGAGAAGCAGTCATTCTGTATTGTTAGGTGAATGTGATCTATCTATTCCAGTGGCTCAGATGCATGAGAATCTATGAGGAATGACTTCCAACTGTTAGTAATAGAGTGTTGCCCAAAGTAACTGAAATTAGATGAGGGTGTATTTCTCTTCCACGTAAAACAGGTCTATAGGAAAGGAGCCCAGGCAATGGTGTGCCAGGGCCAACTTGCCCTGGTTCCTGAGAACTAACTGCAAATCTTGTCTCAGCTCTGCGTCTGATGACCTCACATGGAGAGCTTGAAATTGGCTTTGAGGGAGCCTTTACACCATGGAAATTGGCCAGCACTATAAACTGAGGCTATTTATCTTTTTTCCAGAGGGCAAGCTTCCTAGCACATCCCGAGTGCAGTGATGGTGTGGCTACCCCATCAGGGACCCAGGTTGCTTCTTCCTTCTGTTTCACTGGTTTTGGCCTGTCATGTCCATCTTTCTGGTTGCCTTATGGCCTGAGATGGTACTGGAGTTCCAGTCATTATGTCTGTGCAAGCTCTCTACTCCCATAAAACTAGCTATTCCGAGTTTTCTATCTAACTTGTATTTTCAAGGCTGGCTCCTCTTCATCCTTCACTTGTCATCTGAGGTGTGCCCTCCACAGGGAAGCCTTCTCTGACGCCCTACTAAATTCATCACCCATCCTACATGGCTTTATTTTCTCTAGAGCATAGACCATGTATGCATGCTAAGCTGCTTCAGTCATGTCTGACTCTTTGTGACCCTATGGACCGTAGCCCACCAGGCTCCTCTGTCCATGGCATAGACCATAATAGTTAACTATCTGAAGGTTTCCCTGGTGGCTCAGTGGTAAAGAATCTGCCTACCAATGCAGGAGATGCAGGTTCAATTCCTGGGTTGGGAAGATCCCCTAGAGAAGGAAATGGCAACCCACTCCAGTATTCCTGCCTGGGAAAGCCCAAGGACAGAGGAGCTTGGAGGGCTACAGTCCAGGGGGGTCACAAAAGAGTCAGACATGACTTAGTAACTAAACAACAATATTATCTGTCTTCCCCACTAGACTGGAAGATCCCTATCAGTAGGGACTATGTCTGTCTGGTTCTCTGCTGTGTCCCCAATGCCTCACACTGCCTGGTACATCATAATTGCTCAATAAATATTTGTTGAGTGAATAAGGGATAGTAAGCACAGATCATTTTGTTTTATACATGCTTCCCTTAGCATGTCATTGTGACCATTTTCTCACGTTGCTCTCTAGCCTGTAAAATTAGTTGGATTAGATGTTTTCAAGGGCTCTCCCTGCTCTGATGAGACAGGAGAACAGGAGGTGGGGGTGAGCAGGTAAGTCAGCTCCCTGGCACCACTCACACCCCAGGCTGACTAGAGAGCTGGGGCCAGAGGCTGTTTCCATGGAGATTCACTCCCAAAGAAAACTTCCTTGAGCCCCATTTCAATGCCAGGCCATTGTTGGGTGCAGGGGAGATAGAAAATGATAGGGTAGGCCTGCCCTGCATGGGGATGGATGAAGGACAGTCAGGAGAAAACCAGCTGTGATACCATGGACTGAATGTCCAGAAGTACTGGAAGCCAGGGCTTCCCAAGTGGTGCTAGTGGTAAGGAACCCACCTGTCAATGCAGGTAGACATAAGAGACACAAGTTCGATCCTTGGGTCAGGAAGATCCCCTAGAGGAGGGCATGGCAACCCACTTCAGTATTCTTGCCTGGAGAATCCCATGGACAGAGGAGCCTGGCAGGCTGCAGTCCATAGGTTCGCACAGAGTAGGACATGACTGAAGCAACTTAGCACACACACATGAACTGGGAGCCATCCATCTCTGTGCCCCATTCATTCATTTGAGAAATAATTATTGAGGCCCTACTGTGTGCTGGGCACTATTCTAAGTGCTGAGGATAGAACAGTGAACATGTCAGTCACGATTCTTGCCTTCCTAAAACTCACATTCCAGTGGAAAAGAGGAACAGTAAACACACTGTCAGATAAATAAGCAAGATCATGGAGACCACAAAACAGGATGTGATGGAGGGTGGAAAGGATGCTACTGTGCATGGTCTGGTGAGGCAAGACCTCTCAGAGGAGGCAGCATCTGAGTTGTTACGTTAATGCTACAGGGGAATCAGGGGAGGATACCTGAGAGTGAAGTGCACCAGGCAGAGGAAGCAGCATGTGCAGGCACAGGGTTGAAGCAAGCCCAGAGTGTGGGACAGGAAGAAGACCGCTTTGGCTGGCTGGGAGTGATGGGGGAAGGATGGTGGAGACAGCGGTGGGACGGGCATGAGGGCACTGAGACACCTGCTTCAGGCATAAAGCTGAAGCAGGTGCCCCCAAACTCAGTAATCAAGAGGAATAATTCGTAATGAAATTTTTAAAAATCAAAATTAACGTCCAAAAAAACTGCATGATGAACAAAATATCAGATTTGTAAATAGAGACAAGATGACCAGCCATGACTTACTGAGCCATATTGGAACCAGAGGCAAAGGAAAAATTAGTCATAATGATCCTGTCCTTTAAAATTTTGACATGTTGTCTATCATGGATTTTTGTTGTTGTTCATTACTGAAGAAAATTGACACCTGGTGTCATGATCATGGTCTCCAGAACTAGACTTCCCGAGTTCCAATTCTGGCACTACCCTTCCACTCTTAGCTGTAAGTTTGGGGGCCAGTTTCTTGGCCTATCTGTATCAGTTTCTCCATTGGAAAATGGAAATAATAACAATGCCTACTTCAGGGTTACTGAGAGGATTAGATGACCCCATACAAGCTGAGGTCTGAGAACAGTGCCTAGCCCACTGGAAGTGCTCAGAGGATGTGGGGAGTTAGTCACAGCCCTGGACAGTGGTACGGCCTTGGTTCCTGCCAGAGGATTCTAAGCAAGGAGTCTTGACCATCAGGGGGTCAGAAAGTATGTGGAGGTGGATTGGAGACTGGGGGACCAGAAGCTCCTAGGATGGCCTGAGTGGAGGCTGTTGCAAAACTTCGGATGAAAGATGGGAACAGACTCTGGACATACTTGGGAGACAGACTCTACAGGACTTCGTGGTTGTTGAACTGTGATGGGAGGAGGGTGCTGGGGCAGGGGACGCACAGGGCCAGGTTAGCTTCCAGCGCCTGCAGCAGTCAGGCCTGGGCTCTGCATCACCGTTACCAGGAAATACCGGGCTGGCTCTGGCCTGCTCCGCGATTCCTGTCTTGTCTGTGTTCCAGAGGGAGCTGAAGGAGCAGCTTCAGGCCCTTCAGGACAGTGAGCGGGAGCACACTGAAGCGCTGCAGCTGCTCAAGCGACAGCTGGCAGAGACCAAGGTGAGCTTGGCCTGGAGGTGGGGGCGGGGCTGGCGGAGGTGGGGGCGGAGCTTCGTGGAGGCGGGGCCAGTTGGGCACTTGAAGGGCGGGGACTCGAGCCTGCTGCGGGGGCGGGGCTTCGAGGGCCCAAGCTCCAGTTGAGAGGAGCGCGGAGGGCCGAGGCTGGGGCTTCTGCAAAGGTAAAGGGAAAGGGACCTTCTCCCAGATCACGGAAGGAAAGGATTTGGGCTGGTGCCCGGGGTTAAGGATAGGATCCTCGCTCCCTGCTTTGGGTGAAATTTGAGATGGGGTCAGGGACCCTCTAGGAAAACCCTGATGTCCTATGGGACTGGAAGAAGGTACCTAGTCTCTTTTCCCTCTCCTGTTGTTAAACACACCCATTTTTAAGTTAGCAATCCCTCCAATCTCTTCGAGAGAATGTTCCCTCCAAGTCCTCCTGATGATCTGTGGCTCAGCCCTGGTATAATCTCCTCTCTGAAACTCGGACCGTGAAGATATAAAGAGTAGGGGCAAACCCTGCAGGCTTTAAATACGATGGTCTGAAAAGAAAAGTCTTTTTCCTTGACCTGAGAGGAAGGCTGTGGGTTCTGATCCAGGCACTCCATGCTGTGTGAAGTTTGGGTAAACTGCAAGCTTTTCTGCAATCTTAATCTTTCCATCTGTGCAGCAGGGACTGTGCCAGGCTCTGTCCAGCCATGCTATTCTGGATCCTAGCACACTTCCAAGGGGCTCCTTCCAAATCCTCCACAGATATCTCTCTAACTGAGCAAGGTTTGCTTTGCTCTCCGCTGTCCTTCTGTCTGCTAAGCTTTTAGGTGATTTCATTGTCCTGGTAGCTCAGGGGTAAAGAACCTGCCTGCCAGTACAGGAGACAAAAGAGACGTGGGTTCAATCCCTGGGTCAGGAAGAGCCCTTGGAGTAGGGCGTGGCAACCCACTCCAGTGTCCTTGCCTGGAGAACCCCATGGACAGAGGAGTGTAGCAGGCTACAGTCCATGGAGTCGCACAGAGTCAGACACGACTGAAGTGACTTAGCACACACAGCATAGCACTCCATTTGCTGAGATGCTGCTGCCAGCAGCAGCTGGAGGCGCGCCTTAGGAATGTTCTGGGCCTCCAGAGGTCACTGGAGAGGCCCTTGGAGATCCAGACTTGTGCCCCAGCTTGGCTGCCAACCCACTGTGGGGTCTCAGGGAGGTCATGACAGACATTTCTTCAGAGAACATTCTGGAGTGCCTCCAGGCAGGACCCTTAGTGGGCAACAGATGAGAAACAGACCCAGAACTCTGGCATCGTTGCTTCTCACAGCCTCAGTTTCCCCACCTGCATGGGGATCCAGTACCTCTCAGGTGAAGAGAGCAAATGGAAGCCTCTGTCTGGGCGAGAGGGGAATATTATAATCTGTTTTTCTCCCCAGCATTCTGTTCTTCTCTCCAACCACCCCCCCCCCATTGTTTTTCTTCACTGACCTCTTCCTCCCCTGCCTTCCTGTCCATCTGTCTACCTCTGGGGGGTCCTGTGGGGCCACCTTCCCCTCCAGTTCCCCCAGCCCTGCTTCCTGTCTGGACTGGGGTGTTTATACAAGAAATGCCTATGGATGCTTTGGAGGTCATATTTCACCTGGTGCCTGACTCGGCTCAGCTTTCTTGTGGCGCCTGCCCCTCTAGTGGCCCGGCTTGAGGGCCTGTCTGATCTCCCTCCCTGGGCCCAATGTTTTCCTTGGTCGGCCCTGACCGAGTGACGCATTCTTGGCAGAGTATTTTTCTGAAACAGCCCCAGCTCCTCCAAGCCCCAGTGTGTTCCCAGGGATGTGGTGGGCTGAGGTGGGGGCTGCTTTCCCAGTCGAGGCACTGAAGGGATTGGGGGTGGGGCGGGACTGGCTCTGTCCTAGAAAAAACTAGAGTAAATGGGGCACACCAGTTTAGCTGAATCTTTCTCTGTGCTGGGAATTGTGTTCCCCACCCATTGTCCTGCTGAACTGCACAGAACGTCACCTCCATGACCGCAGGATTCCCCAGAACCTATACACTGTCTAGCACACAATAAATCAGTTCAGTTCAGTCACTCAGTCGTGTCCGACTCTTTGAAACCCCATGGGCTGCGACACGCCAGGCTTCTCTGTCCATCACCAGCTCCTGGAGTTTGCTCAAACTCATGTCCATTGAGTCAGTGATGCCATCCGACCATCTCATCCTCTGTTGTCCCCTTCTCCTGCCTTCAATCTCCTCCTGCCACAATTGTGCCTTCAATTGTGCCTGCTGCCACAATGATAAATAGTTGTAGAACAAATGAGTGAGAAAAAAACACCTTTTGAAGTAGGAATTGTTGTCTCCATTTTAATAGCAAGGAGACTGAGGCATAGAGAGATTGCGGGACATGCCTGAGGCCCCATGGCTAGTAAGTAGCTAATTGAGAGCTTACTGTCTAATTCTGTCAGATCATAGGGCATATTCCAGCCTCATGCTGGGTTGTCCTCAGCAAGATCTCTGGCTCTGTGGTCTGCAAGCCGGAGAGGCCTAGAGAACCCATCAGGGACATACTTAGGCCTCCTGGGATGGCTGTCACTCTGATGTTTCACTTCTGAGCTGCCCTCTCCCAGTTTCTTTCTCTCCTCTTGTGCTGGAGACACTAGGCCCCCACCAAGAAAGATGATGGAGTCTGCACCCACCTCTGCAAATCAGTCTTGGGCCAGACCCTTCCCTCCTTCACCATTCAAGCAGATTCTGCCCATCAACCTGTGCCAGGCCCTGGGATGGGCACAAAGAGTGCAGGGTTAAGAAAGATGTCATTCCTATCCAGGAGTGGTTCGTTCACTAGCTGGGAAGCCACATAAAACATGAGGCAGCATATTAAGAATATTTACAAAATGCTGTGGGAACATTTAGCCTGTTTAACTGGCTGCAAAATTTAGGGAAGGTATCCCAGAGAAGGGAGCTTTTGGTCTGGGTCTCACAAGATAAGTAGGAGTTTGCCAGTTGAATAAAGCATTTGCTGGGGGAGGGGTCCACTCTAGGTCGGTAGACTTACAGTGCAATGGCACTAGAGTGGTAAGTGAGATTAGAGTGAGGACTTTGAATTCCAGACTAAGGAATTTAGCGCTGTACTAGTCATCAAGATGCCAAGAGATGTTCCTGAACACAAGACTGACTGTGACCCAGTTTGCACTTTAGAAGGATCACTCTGGCAGCAAGTTTGTTGGCAAAGATTAGGTGTAGTTGACACGTTAAACCAGTGAGTTGGTGGAACCCATGGGCATGTGTGGAGGAGGCAGGTGGAAAGATGAATGTGGCACTCAGGAGACACGTAAGGCCTTCAAGAAGGATGGATCTGGAAAGCAGCCTCAGAGTAGTGGGAGTTGAAGATGAGGGAGGGCATGTCATGTATGAACAAAAGGAGCCAGGACTGGATGAGTCCTCAGGAACAGGGATGGCAGGGAGGGAGCAGCCACAGAGGTGGGAGGCAAACCAGAATTCTCGATTAGTAGAGGCTGGCCCTTGGGCCAAATGCTGCTGCAGACTGGCTGAGGAGGAGCCAGAAGGGCTGGCCATGAGATTTAGGGTTCTTTGGAGGCAGCAGCAGATGGTCCAGGGCAGGCATGCCCATCTTCCCCACCATGACCTGCTGCTGCAGGAACCTCACCTTCCCTGGGTGAGGGGGCTCCAAGGGGCCACAGGCAGCCTGGCCCTTCGTCCCCAGCCTCTCCCTTCACCACCCTCTTTGTCTGCCTGGCAAGCTGGGTGGGCATGCGCAGGGAGGCTGGCCCACTGCCAGCAGCTCTTCCTGCCGGCCCACAGCCACGACCGGGAGGGAACAGGCCCTAATTGAGCCTTTGTGGAGCTTCCCACAGAGCCCTGGGCACTGAACACAGCGGGGTCTCTGACTCTGTGAACTCCCAGTCAGAATCCCACAAAGTCAAATTGCAGAGGCAGGCCCCACACGCTGCTGCCGCTGAGCAGCACTTTTGTACCCTGTGTCATCCTGCCTCTTGCTGTCCCCTCGGCCCGTTCCCCGCCTCCACCCCCAACTGACATCCTGCTCACCCTTCAGGCCCCAGCTCAGCAGCCATCTCTCCACGAAGACTTCTGGGATGTGCCTGTTCCAGTGTTTAAATAACCAGGCTCTGGGGCTGCACCTCAAACAATGTCATGCGCTTTGTGAATCTCCCCTCACTTACCGTAGCCCTGCAATGTCATTGTGTAACCCTCTTCCCAGATAAGAAAACCAAGGTTCAGAGGTATCAGGCAGCTAAAGTTGCCACAGCGGGAGACTCAGTGCCCTTGGGCACCAAAGCTTTGCCTTTTACCACTCAATCCCTTCCTGGGCCTGGCAGTACCCCTGGGGACAGAGAGAATCAATCAAGTCCATGCTTGTCTTTCTGTGACAATGGCTTTAACCCACAACTCTTGTTCCCTAGCAAGAGGGTCTGGGGGTGCTGGGACAGGGTGAGTGACCCTGAAACTTTGCCCAGTACATTGCCATTTATAAAGCTCTCTGACATCTGTGATCTCCTTGGCATCTTTGCTTAGGCTGCATGAGTGATGTTTTTTAAAAAATAAAAATTTCACTGTCTCCTAGACTGAGCTCAGCATCTGCTCCCTGCCCATCCCGCCACATCTCTGGCCCACTTCCTCATCCCTCCCGTCCCCAAGCCAGAAATCCGGACATCATCCTCACACCTGTCTCTCCTTTACCCCACAGCCAGCCAGTCGGTCACCAGGGCCACCGAGGCTCCCCCTACAGATACCTTTCAAGCCTTGTCCGTCTGCTGCTCCTCTAGCTCAAGCATCATTGCCTCGCCTGGACCACTTCATTTGTTTCCTAATGGAGACTATTTGTTGTCCTTGATCAGGCCAGCTCTCTTCTGCCGCCATGCTTTTTGCCATTTCCTCACTGAACGTACCTTTCCCGCCCTTTCCTCTCTGCATGCCAAGACCCTCGGTCTCCTCCTCTCACACAGCGATCACCCCATCCATTCTCCCTGACTAACCTCTGATGACCATGTCCACAGTCTTCCACCAAAAGCCTGCGGACCACCATCGGGGAGGTGTTCGAGCGGCTGCACCGGCTGCTGCGGGAGCGGCAGAAGGCCATGCTGGAGGAGCTGGAGGCAGACACGGCTCGCACGCTAACCGACATCGAGCAGAAAGTCCAGCGCTACAGCCAGCAGCTGCGCAAGGTGCAGGAGGGGGCACAGATCCTGCAGGAGCGGCTGGCCGAAACCGACCGGCACACCTTCCTGGCTGGCATGGCCTCGCTGTCCGAACGGTGAGTGCCTGCCTGCCCCAGCGTCTTCTCCAGATGGGTCACTCCTCCCCAGCCCCTGTAGGATGGAGGGCTGGTTAGCAGAGAAATCATTCATTCAGATCTCCATCAAACACACAGGACATCTGCTCTGTGCCATAGCCTGGGGTGAAGGCTTTGTGTACGCACACTATTTTATACATAATATTTATAATCCTATAGGATATTACTTATTTTGTGTGATTTATGTTATAAATATACATTTTATACTATTTATTATAATATCTTTTTTTTTATTCCCAACCAGCCCCTTGGAGGTCGTTACTACTGTCATACCTATTTCACACATGTAGCAACTGGCCAAAGCCCTTCATCTAGCACATGGGGGAGCCAGGATTCAAGGCCAGGTCTCTCTGGTTCCATGGCTACCTTTAATAATAATACTTGGGACTTCCCTGGTGGTCCAGTGGTGAAAACTCCACACTCCCACTGCAGGGGGCATAGATTCGATCCCTGGCTGGGGAACTAAGATCCTGCATGCTGCGTAGCATGGCCACCCCAAAATAACAAATAAATAAAATAACACTTAATTATTGGTTTTCCCTTGTGGCTCAGCTGATAAAGAATCCACCTGCAATGCGGGAGATCTGGGTTCGATCCCTGGGTTGGGAAGATCCCCTACAGAAGGAAAAGGCTACCCACTGGAGAATTCCATGGACCAAATAGTCTATGGAGTCGCAAAGAGTTGGACACGACTGAGTGACCTTGACTTTTATTTTCAATGACCAGTACTGATAGCTGATGTCATGTATTGTGTTGACCATGAGGCACACACCGTGCTAAGCGTTTTACATGCATTAAGCTGCACAGTGCTCACAAGTCTAGGAGGCAGGTGTTATCATAGTACCCATTTTAAAGATAAAGAAATGGAGGGTGATAGCTAGAGAATTAGGAAGTGGTAGAAGTAAGCACTTGAGTCTGGGTATGGCAGACTTCCCACTCATGGCCTCGCCCTATGCCAGCGACCCTGAAGGTCCTGGGACAGGAATCTAGCCCCCAATGTGGTCTGCTCTCTTGCTCCCTTTCCAGGCTCAAAGGGAAAATCCATGAGACCAACCTAACCTATGAAGATTTCCCAACCTCCAAGTACACAGGCCCCCTGCAGTACACCATCTGGAAGTCCCTATTCCAAGACATCCACCCAGGTAAGGCCCTTCCTGCCACTCACCAGAGGGCCCAGGAAGAGGCAAGGATCATCACAGGTTGGAGCTAGATGGGCCACTGCCCAGTCCAGCCCCCAGCTCTACACACAGCACGGGGGCAGGGCAGAGGGATGGGAAGGGTGCCTTAATGAGCACCTACTATGTTCCGGGGCCTGTGCTGGGCACCTGCAGTAACTCAACCCAGGGAATCTTTATACTGATACAACTCCAGGAGGTTGGTTCTACTAGTGTGCCCATTCTCTAGATGAAGAGACTGAGGCTGTGGGCTGTTCACTCATTCACTGTATGAGTACAGAAGAGATGAAGCACCTACCTCACACCAGGCACTGTTCTAGGTACTGAAGGTAAAGCAGTGAACGAAACAGGCAAAACTTCCTACCCTCATGCATCTCAGTTACATCCTAGGGTGAGAGAGAGAAAGAAAACAAAATTAAATAAGTAAAACACAATGTTTATTAGATAGTGATAAAAGATAAGGAAGGCAGCTAGCAGATGTTGAGGCAGGAAAAAACGTTTGGTAGGGGATTCAGTCAGAAGACCTCCCGGAGAAGGAGGGAGTAAAGACCTGAAGGAAGAAGAGTGAGCCATGTAGATACCCTGGGAAGAGTGCTCCTGGCAGTGGGACTAGCAGGTGCAAAGGTTCTGAGGCAGGAGCACGCCGGGCATGTTCAGGTCAGAGTAAGGAGACCAGTGTGGCTGGAGTGGAACGAGTGAGAAGGACAGTGGAGCTAGCAGTAGCCGGACCATGAGGGCCTGTGGGCCCAGGTGAAAGCTTTCAATTTTATGCTGAGTGAGATGGGAGTCCTTGAGGATTTGGGATGGTAACATGAAGTAACGTGAGCTTTTAAGTTTTTAAAGGATGCCTCTGGCTGCTGAGTTGAGAATAGACTGCAGGAGTAAGGGGTAGAGGTTAGGAGACTATTGCAGTAATCCAGGCGAGAGGTGATGCTGGCCTGAAGCAGGGTGATAGTAGTGCACATGGCAAGACGTGACTGGATTTAGGATCCATACTGAACAGAGAGCCAACAGGATTTTCTAACGCATTGGATCTCAGATGTGAGAAAGAGAAAACCGATAAGGAAGGCTAGAACAATTTTGGCTGAGGTGACTGGGAAGATGGAGTTGTAAGCATGTGAGGCTCGTGATGCCAATCAGATGTCTCAGTGCAGATGTGGAGAAGGCAGTGGAGATGACACGTATGCAGTTCAGGAGAAGGGTCTGGGCCAGTGGTGTCCGCATGTGGACGGTACCGAATGAGCCAGGATGAGATCACCTAGGAGGTGAGTTGAGGGTAGAGAGAAAAGAGAGAGGACCATGCTAACAATTGGAGCCCTGGGGCCATCCTAGAAATCAAGGACAGGAAGGGGACCCAGTCAAGGAAACCGAGAAGGAACAGCCAGAGAATAGGAGGGAGACCTGGTCCATCCTGGAAGCCAAGTGGAGAAAGTGTTTCGAGGAGGGGGAGTGGCTGGTGGCGGCCAGGCTGCAACACCAAGTGTGGGAAGATCAGCACTGACTGTTCTCTTGGTCTTGATGGCCTTGACAGGAGCCGCTCTGGTGGAGCAATGGAGGCAAATCCTGATTGGAGGCCATCCAAGAGAGAATGGGAGAGGAAGTGGAGACAGTGCTTTCAAAGAGTTTTATTTGTGGGAAGGAGAGAGAATGTGGCAGCAGCTGTTTGTTTAAGATAGAAGAAATGATAGCATGTTTGGGGGTGGAGCGGGGGGGCTTCCCTGGTGGCTCAGCTGGTAAAGAATCCAACTGCAAAGCAGCAGACCCTGGTTCAATTCCTGGGTTGGGAAGATCCCCTGGAGGAGGGCATGGCAACCCATTCCAGTATTCTTACCTGGAGAATCCCCATGGACAGAGGAGCCTGGCGGGCTACAGTCCATGGGGTTGAAAAGAGTTGGACATGACTGAGCGACTAAGCACAGCATGTGGGGGAAGGGGGGCACAGAAAAGATGCAGTAGAAAAAGGTAGAACTGAGGATGAATGAGAGAGAATTGCTGGAGTGCCGTCGGGTGTGGGGTCCACCCCAGCCTCTGCCGGCAGCCCAGAGAAGGGAGAATACATGGGCACCAAAGCAGAGGGGCAGGTGGTGGAAGCTCATGGGAATTCTGTTCTGATAGCTTTGCCTTTCCCAGTAAGGTAGGAAGCAAGGTCATCCACTGGGATAAGAATGGACTAGAGAAGGTCACGGGAGGTGGGCTGAGAGGGGAGAAAGTCTGGAATGGATTTCTAGTAGAGTCAATAGACCCTGGGGCTCTGAGATCAACACCTTCCCAACATTACACAACACACCAGGGCATCAGAGTCGAACCTATTGGCAGCAGGGAGCCTATGTGTTGAGTCAGGTGCAGTGTCCTATAGAGAGGAGACAAGGATGTAGAGGGGACTAGTCCCTAAAAGGTAGACACTATTATTATATTTTAGATGAGGCAACTGAGGCACACAACTGTTAGGAACTGTTCATGGTCATAACCTGGTAAATGGTACAACCAAGATTTGAACCAGAACCATCAGACCCAAACGGTGTGCCCTTCCCTACTAAGCCTATCAGGCATTCTCTGGCCTCATACCACCAAACCAGGAAGGCTGCTGGGGAGGCCGAGGCTCAGAGAGGCTCATTGATTTTCCCAGGTCACACAGCAATCAGATTTGCACCTGTCTGGATTCATTCGTTCAATCTACAAACATTGAAAGTCCTTTGATGCACGTTCAGGAGAGACAGATGGGACAACAGACCCTAACATTCTATGGGAAAACGGCCATGATGAGGGACTTACACGGGGCCATGGGAGCCCAAGAGGCAATAGGAAGCTCTGGATGGGTCAGGGAAGGAGCCAGGGGAACACTGAGCAGATGGTGTTTGCACTGAGCAATGAAAACTGAAGGCTTTCCCACTCGGGGAGGGTGTGGCCTAGAGATGACTCCAGACAATCCCTGGCATTGAGAACGATATACGCAAAGAAGCATCCCAAGATGCTCATGATTGGCCTCCAGGTACAAATGGAGAAGGACTGAGGACAATCACTGAGGGTGTGAGTGCTAGATAGGGATGGGGCTCCCCTCTAGGTGACTGAAGGCCGCCTCTGATGCATCATGACCAATTTCACAAAGATGAAGGGATACCTCCTAGTACCCTTCAGTCTGGATCTGTGCCCTCATTGACAAAGCAGGCAGTAGTTGGGGGAAGGGCCCCATTTTCCAGCCGACTGGGTAGGGCTCTGGACTAACCTCCTGGTGTAGGGGTGGGGAGGTCTCTGTGTGCTCCCAGCCTTGGAGGGACCTTCACAGTGGGACCCAGCAGTGTGAGGGCCACACATGGGTGAAGCGGCATAACTTAAGGAAGCAAGAAGTCCGGCCAAGGGTCCTGACCCCTCCCCTGACCCAGGGAAGCCCCTCAGGCAGATGGTCTCAGGAACCGATTTATCTCAGCTGCCACCTGCCTCACCCCCATCACTGCTCAGTGAGGCAATCCAGGTAGTTAAACCTTATATATCAAGGCACTGTGACATCTGGGCCCTGCCAGTCTCTCCTTCTCCCTCTATATCACACCCAGACACACGGAACCATCTTCAGGTCTTACATGAGTCACATTCCCTCTCCTGCACACTTTTCTCACTTTTGTACAAGTGAGAAAACCCTCGACACAAACCTCAGACTTTGAGAACTAACTCCTACTCTCTTTTACATCTTAGTTTATAAACACCTCCTCTGAAATACCTTCCTGGATTTCTCCAAGTAGCCCTAGGCTTTTCTGGTCTTGCTGTCTTATTAATGTCTGCATGGCTGTCTCTCTTGCTAGACTGTGAGCTCTGAGAGGTCAAGGGCTGAGTCTGATTCATCACTCTACATCCCCAGCAGCTAGTGCAGTAAATGTTTGTGGATGATTGAATAAAGAAATGAATGAGTCCTGGTCTCAGTTCTGTTACTAGAATACCCTGATATTAAGTAGGTGCTCAGTGATTATTTGTTAAATGAAGGAACTTGCTGCACATCCCTGAACAAGTCCCTTCCTCCCTCTAAGCCTCTGTTTCCTCCTCTATTATAGAGATACTAGTGTTCCCTTCTTGACTCCCCCACAAGAGAGCAAACGGATGTGGGAATTTGCTGATTGCCCCAGGGCAGGCTTTCTCAGCCTCAGAACTATTGACATTTGGGGCTGGATAATTCCTTGTCTTGGGAGCTGTCCTGTCCGTGGTAGGATGTTCAACAGCATCCCTGGTCTCTACCCAACTAGATGCTACACACACATACACACCCAGATATGACAACCAAATATATCTCATTCATTGTCCAATGTCCCCTGTGAGGCAGATCCACCCCAGTTAAAAATGACTTCCCCAGAGAAAGCAGCCTGTAGGAGGGGGCAGAGGGAGCCCCAGCATGTGCTCCGAACATCCTGCCGAGGATAGCAGCCCCTGGGGGTTCAGAGAACAGTGACCTGGTTAGCCGGGCCTCTTCCTTTGTCTGTAGGGCCTATGAAGTCACTCTGGCTCTTCTGCCAAAACCAAGGCCCTTTATGTCTAGATGGGAGGGGCAGGCGCCCCCAGGGACCTAGCCCTGGATTCTAGCAGCTTCCTGCCTACCCGCCTTCCAGTTCAGGCTTCCTACTAGGTCACCAGAGAATTTTATTTAGCACCTGTCACTCCCCTGCTCTGGAACCTCAACTCTCCACCTCCACCCACACCCCTGCCCCACCCCTCAGCTGACACTGGAAACCCTCCTCCAACTGTCTGGCCTGACTGCCCCATCTCCCGGGCACCAACTTCCTCCCCACCCAGGACAAGTGGCCATTGTCCAGAGGACACCAGACGCTGCTTCTTTTGCTCCTGCCACCTCCCTTTCTGGGCTGCTCTCTCCCCCACCCCTGCTTATCTGAATCCAATCATTTTGGGTTCCAGCATATTCACTGTCAAGCTGTGTGACCCAGGGCAGATCTCCACTCTGTCTGAGCCTGTTTCCTCATCTGTGAAAC